AATCATACGATTCTCAGCGGGTTTTCGAACATGTTCCTAAGATAAAAGTCGTGCGATCTTACAGTACGCCTTCCACACACCTTGCGATAATCGTACGATCGCGGTGCATACTTGCACATTAGGGCAAAACAGAACATTTACAAAGCAGTTTACTTCCGCTTTAAGCTATACTCACAGCAGCGAAGGGAAATAAAAGATGATAAAGTCATTAAAGATGAACTCCAGGCAAACCGCTAAATAGGACATTTAAATATATAAATATATATGTGGTGGAGTTTTACCTGCCAAGACATTTTTATTTCTGTCCACCCAGACCTGAGATTTACACAGCCCTTTCAGACAACACAGCCAGCCTGGTGACCTGACTTTTCTCTACTGTAGTTAAGCGCCACAGCTGGGTCACCTACCTGCCCACAGCATGTGATTGGACATTGAAGAAGCAGTAATAGGCTTATGATATCTCTCTACTCTTTGCTCCTCGTACATATGAACGCGGGACAGATTTGCCCCAAGTGCTGCCCCTGCCTCTCCTACTCTGAGTGCTACTGTAACTTGGTTGAAAATCAGTTAAATTTAGGTATTGCACTAGCTGTATTTAGAAATACATACTTTTTAAATTAACAAACGTCTGCTCTCATTGCTGTTTGACATTTACTTTTCATTTTGAAAATTCTAGTTTTCTGGCTGTCATGCTTACCCAGCGTAAAGGTGCCCATACACTGCACGATTCTCGTATGAGAATGGCGGGAAATCCCGCGATCGTGCGAGAATCGTGCAGTGTGAATGAAGACGTGCGACCGTTTCTACTGTACGGTCGCACGTCTTTTGTCTAAGGAGCATGCTAGAAAACCAGCCGAGAATCGTACGATTTTGGTTTTGGTTTTTAGCATGATCGTAAGATCAATACCGCACGGGCCGGTGTGCGCACGCGCGCACTGCCCGTACAGCATTGCGGTCATCGGAAGCCCGCCCCCCTGAGGGGGGCAAGTACCATCTGCCTGTCCAAGAAGGGCAGATCGTAGGATTTTTTACAACCATCGCAAGACTAAGGTCTTACTTTACAACCATCGCAAGACTAAGGTCTTGCGATGGTTGTAAAGTGTATGGCCACCTTTAGTCATATTTTCGGAGTCACTAGCCTGGAGATCGGGAGTTGTGACTTGACTCTTTCTTTGCTTGCTGCAAGTGAAATACTAAAATTATTTGAGCTAGAGACAATCAGGCTACTTGAAGCAATGGCAGCCCTAATATTTAACTTTATTATGTCTTGGATAGTGGTGAAAAGAGCTAATACCTGTCAGGTTTTTATTGATATCTGTGGTCCTGTTGTGGAGATTCCCCCTCAATTCCTGTCTGAGAATAAAGTAATGGGCAACCTTTTCAAAGGGAACACAAACTTGTTTTCAGTAGAGCAAGGAAGGATTAGAGGAAGAGAAACGTCTATGAATATTTTTGTTGCTGTCCATACCTCCTTATCCTGGTGACAGCTGAACCCATGATTTCTTCATCACCTGGGCAGGAAGTGAGAGAAAATCTCCCCAATGGGCCCACAGACAGAAATCACAACCAGACAATTTTGGCCACTCTAATCAAAATTTAAAAAGAAAATTTGGGCTCCTAATTCAATCTATTTTACAAACCTCCCAACCAGCTGCCTACTTACCTCAGCATGGCAGCTGCGACCTTCTCTAATGTGTTCCTCCTCCATGCCAAGATCTTCTTCATGCCTGGCCATGCATGCTTAGAGAGCCTTCATAGACTTGAATGGGATCCCACTCTGAGATTGAAGGCCCCACTCAGGTCTTTGAGGGCTTACTGCAGAAGGGGGTGTAAACAGCACAGGAGGTTGGAGGGCTAGGGAGGGTGGAGTAGTGCATGGTTTACTAGAAGTGGACTTGTGCTTTAACTCTGACTTTGGACTTCTTGCTTGTGTTCTGCTCATCCTTTACATCACAGGAACACAGGCCTGGGGTGTCATGTTTGTAAAAGGCCTGTTCACACCGGCAGGCGTGCGTTATAGTCTGTGTAACACGTGCGCCCTGGTGTGCCTTGTGCAGGGGTAGTTAATTGTTACAAAGCATCACAGTATTTCCTTTTTTAAATTTATTGTAATATCATAATATGAAACTTCAACTATATGTACTACAGCTTGTTGCAACACACTGCGGTGCTGTGACATGTATTCCTGAGCGCTGGGTAAGAATGCAGACATGCCGCATTTTTACATAACACACACCACTGTACATATGTGGTGTAAACAAGGCTCATGGAGAACAATCATTTTTTACTGTATGTGTCCTTACATTGAGCCTGCATTGATTAAACTGCTGCTGAAAGAATTGGTGGCATTTGAATGAGAGGCTGCATAAAAGATACAAACATAAAAGGGGGGAATTTATCAAAATCTGGAGCAGATTTGCGCTGCAACCAATCAGCATCTCTGTCTCATTTTCAAATCTTACCTGAGCATACTGAAGAGAGAAGCTGATTGGTTGCCATTGGCAACTGCTCCAGAGTCTTCTGCTCCAGTTTTGATAAATTTCCCCTACTGTCTGACCTCTGCCTAAAGTTTTATATTTGTCTCACAAAGCTAACCCTACTATGAGCTCTCTGTTAAATGGTTAGGGTCAGATTTACTGTGACGCATACAGGCATGGGCCAGCTGTGCGTAATGTGCAGCTGGTCCATGCCTGTATGCGTCACAGTCCCTTCGCTGTCAAGAGACTATTTCAAACACGAGGCGTGTTTTGACGCGCGATTTAGCGTGTTTATGTGAACGCCCCCATAGGAATACATGGGCTTTTTGTTGCACACGTGCACATATTGCACACGTGCACATGGGAAAAAACGCGGGACGAAACGCCCTGGTGTGAACAGGATCTTAAAGGCATATTTTACCTTTTGCAAAACTAATAAATGCACTTATATTGCAAAGAGAAAAAATGTGTATGTGTTAGGTTTTTGTATCGGAGCCTGCAAAGCATTGCAAGCACAGTCAGTGGATGGTGGGTACAATGCTCAGGATCCTTCAGATAACTCCCTTCGCCTACTGAGGTACAGACCTTCAGGTATGGAACTGGAGGAAGTTATCTATAGAATATAAGTAGAGTGACTTCACCGCACTTGTACTCCATTGGGAACTGAGTCCCTATGCTGCAGTGGGAGATGGCTATGAATGGATCTGTGAATCAATGACACAGCTGTGCTGGCAGATACAGAAGCCGGAGGCGAGAAGCATTCCATGATTCAGGTAAGTGGGGGGGACAGGTTGAGCGTGGGGGGCTGTGGAATGGCACAATGTTCCATATTACACCTAAAATATGGGTGTAACACGGAACTTTGTTGTAAAAATGATCCTTTAAAGAAAATGTGTACTGAGAGACACATCTCACCATTAAAGAATGCATTCAGCTGATCCTAACTAAGGGCTTGTTCACACCAGCCCGCGTGCTATACCGGTCTGTTGTATAGTGGTGGTGAGGATAGATACCTTAAGTTGCTACAATGCAGGACAAGGACAGAGGGTTTATCCTTTCTGATGTGATGTGCGTGGGCTTGGTGTGAACCAAGTGCACAAATCTGTCAGTGACACACCCCCTCCCGCCCTAATCAGCTGCGGTCAGGGAATTCCCTGCGCCTTTGATACGTTTAGCTGTGGGAGGGGGAATACCCTGGCCGGAGCTGGTTGGGTCAAGAGGGCAGGGTGTTACTGACAGCTTTCCGTGGACCCCATCGAGTTGCTGCTGATATCGGTCGTCCGCAGGGGATGGAGCGGTTGGGCGGGTGGTTGTGTTAGAGTGTGTCTGTCTGCGGCTCTCTATCTGGTCCCACCCAGCACACTGATGTCACTGTTTGCCAGAAGCTCAGCGGGATGCCAGACAGAGCATCCCGCTCAGCTCCCTGGCAATCAATGATGTCAGTGAGCTGGGTGAGAAGCCAGATAGAGCGTCATAGGTTGCTAAGAGGTCTTGGCAACCTGGGATGCTGTGGTCACCCCTCTGCCCCACAACTGCCCTGGTCACCATTCAGTACCGTCTTGGCAGCTATTCTAACCCATGGCGTTGGAGGAGGGGTGTGGCTTTAAATGCAGAGCTTAGGAACTGCCAGCCTATCAGGATGTAGTGCGGCATAAGAGTGGCTCCAGGAGACCAGACAGGGGAATGGAGCCACCCTATTGATAGCTATGGAGGAAAGAGATGATATAAAGGCTAAATATAAAGAACTGGCAGGCTGCAAATGAAAAGCACATAAGGTTCAACTCACAAAGGTAACAAATGGGAATAAGGATACTTCTTTTAAAAAGTTATTTTCGGTTGAGCCCACTGAGATTTGAAAATTAGTCACATGACAGAGTGCCCAAGGCTTGTGTAAAGCTTTGTCATTTGAGCCTACAGGAGGCAATGGAGGAACTGAGCTAAGATTTTTAATACGAAGCTTTTAGTATACTGCGATGAGCAAACTAATGTTGACAAAAGCGGCTCCACCAAACATTTTCATGTGTAATATGTACACAATCCTACAACTCATGAACGGCGATCGTTTGCATTGTTGTAGGTATCTGCGGATCAGACCGACCTATAGGGATGATATGCAAATTATACCTGCGATCATCACTGGTGAAAGGGTTAACGGACGTTCTATACGACTACATACAATAAACAGCGGTGCATGCCTTCATTGACTGACCGGAGACGATGTACAGTACTACTAGCAGGTGCTCAGATGATCTCGGCAGAGGAGATCGCTGTGCGCATGCGCGGCACAAAGTAGCGACTACGGGGACCAGCCTGCATGTCCGCACGGATGCCGGGGATGCTCCGTGTGCAGCTGCCAGGCTGTGTGTATGTCAGTGTCAGGCGGCTCCTCCTCTTCCTCCTCTCAGGTTAGGCTGCCTCCCTCTTTTGTGAGTTATAGCAACTGTTGCCTTGTGAATCCAGCGCCATAGCCACCGTAGTCCTGGCGACTGTTACCCATCAACAACAACTACTCCTCTCCTCCTCATCCTCCTCCTCCATCACCACCACCTCTCCAACCTCATCATCATCATCCTCCCCATCACCCACAACAACAAGCACCTACAACAACACAATAATCCACAGCCAAGGTGACTATATTCTTCTTCTTCTTGCTGCTGTTGTAGTAGTGATGTGCGCGTGTGTGTGTGTGGTAGCTATGTGTGTGTCCCTTGCTCTGGCTGCTCTCCTCCCTCCCCAGCAGATCGGCTGTCCTGTGTCTGACACAGAAGATGCTCTCTTCTTCTTCTCCTCCTCTGATGATGATGATCAGTGTTATGATCGCATGCATGGTATCATCTCTGGCATAGGATGAAAGGCAGGTGTCCCTGCAGTATAACCTGCTTGCAGTGTGCTCTCTGCCCCCCTCTTTGTTTTTTTTGTCTGTGTCTGCCTCCCCAGACCCTGGTTGTGTGTGTTTTCATCTGTTTAGTCTGGCATGGAGGGCAGAGGAGGAGGAGGAGGAGGAGAAGGGGGGGG